GACACGACTAAAGCGACTTAGCAGCAGCAGACAAAAACTAAGGAGTCCCTGGTTTCTAACTTAAAAAAAGCTGAATATTCAGTAGCCAAACAGTGGTTTTCAGAAACATCAGTAATTATGGGCTGTTCAGGAGAAAAATAAAAATAAAAACTTTCCCTTCCTACTTAGTCTCTTAAATGTAACACTTTCCAGAGATGCAGTTTTTAGTACAAGGATTGGTCCTGAGTGGAATGAGAATACTCACAGCTTAGAGGACACTGAAGGTTTCAAGCAGGAATCTCTGAGGAGGACTCACCCTCACACACGCTGAGGGCAGGGGTCTCTTCCCCTGACTAAGGTGGAAACCAAGGCACATAGCACGTCAATGACAGTGCTTTCCTAAGTTCACCAGCTCATGAGTGCCTAGTCAAATATCCAAAGACCTGAGGCCAAAAGACGCGGTGATGCTGAACTAGTCATCAACCATCTAACATGAACGATGACTTATGCCCTGAGATCTGGTTGTGACAGGCCAGGGACATGGAAAGTCAAGTGAGCGCCAGGAAGAGGAAAAAGAGCAGTAGAAAGAGGACGCTGAGGGGAGGGGACACTAGCCAGCCCTGGCCTTAAGTTTAATGATCAGAAGGCTTACTGAGGGTTTAATCACAAAAAATTGTTAAAATGAGTCATGGGGGGAAATGAGCCAATTTCAGGAATTTATTAATGAAGATAGGCATAAATAAGAGATACCCTGGCGTGCTGCAGTCCATGAGGTCTCAAAGTGTCAGACATGACTTAACAACTGAACAACAAAGAGATATTTGCATTTTTTCACTGAGAAAGACAATTAAACTCCAGCTGGTCTGCAGAAATGTTTGCTATTGGTGTACTTGGAGTTTATGACCAGTAATGAGGATACTGATAAAGTCTATTGACACATATTTACTTGTTTTCTCATCAGTCTTGAAGTCAGGACCCTAGAGAACAGTGACAAGCAGTTCACTCTTCTTGGTTAAATTCAGAAATGCTGGTTCATTTTAGAGAAAAAGTTTGCATCAGTGCTGTATCTCTATCTTATTGCTATATCCATTTTTCTTTTTTCTTCATAAAGTGTAAGGAGACCCAATGATTTATTATTCAATAAACATTATTGAACACTTATTATGAGCCAAGCACTGTTCTAGGTGCTGGGGACTCTGTAAGAAAAAAAGAATTTACATTATAGCATGGTTGAGAGATACTGTTAAAAATAAAATTTACAATACCATGGCAGGTAGTACTAAACACTTTGAAAAATAATATAGTAAGATGATAGGGATGATCCCAATTAGGAGAAGCAAGATATGTCCTGACAGTTTATCAGAGCTGACTAGCAAATTGTTAGAAATTTTGCTAGCCAGATATTAAACACTGCCATCATTAAAATTTAAATGTTACAAACTTCCAAGTAAATACATTATAATAAAAATGTAATAAATACTCAAAACTCACCATTTTCTATTGATCTTACTACTTGTTGCTACTATTTATGTTCTTTAAGTTATTTACATGTATTCTATCTGTGCATTGGAAACATTACATAATGGCATGCAACTCTGCACCTCCTCCTAGCTGTTTGTTCAGGGACATCATGATGGTAGCACAGAAACAGCCAAAGTGGATGTCTTTACACAGCAGAAATTGACAAACACTATTAACACAAATCGGGGCTTTTTATCCCAGAGAGCTAGATGTGAAACATTTACCAGCTCTTTACAGAGGACAGACTTTCTAATGAGGGGATAATTAAACAGAAGCCTGAGTTACATGTGGATATTTGGCACTGGGATATCTGGGGGAGGGCAGTTCATTGGGTTCATATGATGAGTTCTAGCTAATAAAATATCAGTAGGAGTGATACACACTCCATTCTCAGGGAGAAGCATTTAAGAGCTGTGAGTGACCCCCACACTCTTCATGGTGATGGCAGAGGCCACTTCTTGGGATGGAGGAGCCACAAGATGGAAACATTCTGATCCCCAAGTGACTGTGTGGAGTATAGCATCCTCTAACTCACCCTGAGCATGAACATGAGCAAGAAACACAAAGCTTTGTTTCACTAAATACTGAAGTTCAGGGATTAATTTACTACTTCAGCTTAGCCTGGGCTGTACTGACTAATACAAATGCTATAAAAACTCTCAATGATAATAGCTAACATTTATTGAGGGCTTACCCCATGCCAGGCACAGCATATACATGTATTTCCTCATGTAAGTCCCATACTATTAGAGATGCACACTATGATTGCATTCGTTTCAGAAATAAGGACACTGACTCCAGGAAAGTTTAAGCGACTTGTTCAAGGCCCTCAAAGAACAAAGGATGGAACCTAGAGGGCCAGTCCTGATCCTGGAACTTTCCCTTTTCTACTGAGGGAAGAAGTCTCTTGTTCTTTTCTTCATTCATTTCTTCAGCCTTTTATTGGGCACTTACAGTGCTAGACTCTGGGTAGCATAGCATAGCATGCATGCTCAGTTGTGTCCAATTCTTTGTGACCCCACGGGAATTCTTTCCAGCAGGAATACTAGAGTGGTTTGCCATTTCCTCCTTCAGGGGATCTTCCCAACCCAGGGATTGAACCCATGTCTCCTGTTTCTCTTGCATTGTAGGCAGATTCTTTACCAATGAACCACCAGGGAATCTGCTAGGGTCTGGGTAGGCAAAGATAAAACACCATTCTTTTCTTCAAGGAGATTAGTGAGGAAGAGACGACACAGTGAAAATTATAATGTGATGAATTTACAAGCAATATAAGAGACAGAGGAACACGCTAACAGAGATGGAGATACAATTAGCAAAATCCAGACTGTGGGAAACTATGGGACAAACAATCCAGTTCCTTCAACAAATAAATTACAAGGAAATTTAGTAAGAACCTATAGACTAAAGAAGATCTATAAGTCTGAAGACTCTTGGAAGTCCCTTGGACTGCAAGGAGATCAAACCAGTCAATCCTAAATGAAATCAACCCTGAATATTCATTGGAAGGACTGATGCTGAAGCTGAGGCTCCAATACTTTGGCCACCTGATGTGAAAAGCTAACTCAATGGAAAAGACCCTGATACCGGGAAAGACTGAAGATGAAAGGAGAAGGGGGCAGCAGAGGATTAGATGATTAGATTAGTCAGTATCACTGACTCAATGGACATGAATTTGAGCAAGCTCTGGGAGACCAGTGGAGGACAGAGGAGCCTAGCATGCTACAGTCCATGCGATTGCAAAGAGTTGGACATGACTTAGTGACTAAATAACAACAACAAGCCTTATTAGCTTAATTAACAAGATTATTAGCTTAATAACAAGATTATTAATCTTAATAACAAGATTATTAGCTTGCTAGCTTAAATAACAAGATTATTTAGTTCCTACTTTAAGCAAGCTATTAAAAAATTAAGACACTAGATATGTGCAAATTTGAACACTAGACATTTAGTGATACTAAAGGCTTACTCTTACTTTTTCAATGATCCAACAGATGTTGGCAATTTGATCTCTGGTTCCTCTGTCTTTTCACCAAAGCCTTTGACTGTGTGGATAACAATAAACTGTGGAAAATTCTTAGAGATGGGAATGACAGATCATCTGACCTGCCTCCTGAGAGATCTGTATGCAGGTCAAGAAGCAACAGTTAGAACTGGACATGGAACAACAGACTGCTTCCAAATCGAGAAGGGAGTACATCAAGGCTGTGTATTGTTGCCCTGCTTATTTAACTTATATGCAGAGTACATCATGCGGAACACCAGGCTGAATGACTCACCATCTGGAATCAAGACTGCTGGGGGAAATATCAATAACCTCAGATATGCAGATGACACCACCCTTATGGAAGAAAAAGAAGAAGAACTAAAGAGCCTCTTGATGAAAGTGAAAGAAGAGAATGAAAAAGTTGGCTTAAAGCTCAACTTTTAGAAAACTAAGATCATGGCATCTGGTCCCATCACTTCATAGCATATAGATGGGGAAACAATGGAACAGTGAGAAACTTTACTTTTGGGGGTTCCAAAATCACTGCAGATGGTGATTGCAGACATGAAATTAAAAGATGCTTACTCCTTGGAAGGAAAGCTGTGACCAACCTAGACAGCATATTAAAAAGCAGAGACGTTACTTTGCCGAACAAAAGCCCGTCTGGTCAAGGCTACGGTTTTTCCAGTGGTCATGTATGGATGTGAGTTGAACTGTGAAGAAAGCTGAGCGCCGAAAAATTGATGCTTTTGACCTGTGGTGTTGGAGAAGACTCTTGAGAGTCCCTTGGACTGCAAGGAGATCCAACCAGTCCATCCTAAAGGAGATCAGTCCTGGGTGTTCACTGGAAGGACTGATGCTGAAGCTGAAACTCCAGTACTTTGGCCACCTCATGCGAAGAGTTGACTCATTGGAAAAGACCCTGATGCTGGGAGGGATTGGGGGCAGGAGGAGAAGGGGACGACAGAGGGTGAGATGGCTGGATGGCATCACAGACTCGACGGACATGAGTTTGAGTAAACTCCGGGAGTTGGTGATGGACAGGGAGGCCTGGCGTGCTGCGATTCACGGAGTCGCAAAGAGTCGGACACGACTGAGCGACTGAACTGAACTGAACTAGGTTTACGGGTGCTCGGATCCCGGCTCTGACCCGGTGCCCGGAGCACACTAGGACCTGAATGAATGGCCGAAGTGTGAGTAGGAGTAACCTCAAGACCTTCCGGCAGCCCCACCTCCACCCCCAGGCTTCCATCCCGCGGCCCCGCCTCCCTCTCCCCGGCCCAGGCGCGCGGGCACCCCGCCAGGAGGCGTGCTCCTCGGCCGAGCGCGTCATTTTCCTGCCGGACGCTGGTGGCTCCCGAGCCGGTTCTCCCCGCCCGGTCCCCGCCTCTCCCCGCCCCGCCGGAAGGACAGTCTCGCCACCTCCAGAGCTTGGCGGCGGCGGCGCGGTGGAGGTGGCGGCGGCGGCGGCGTAGCTGGGACGGGGGCTCCGGGCGGCGGCGGCGCAGGCATGGACTCCCGGCTGGACCAGGAGACGGCCCGGTGGCTAAGATGGGACAAGGTGAGGGGTCCCTTGGGGCCGGGAACGCCCGAGAGACGTGCGGGGTCCCCTTTCCAGTGACGCGTGACGGTGCTTCTGGCCCGCCCCGCCCATCTCGCGGGCCCGAGCGGGTCCTGCCCGAAGGCGAAGGGGCGGCCGCCAGGCCTCGCCGGTGTGGCCGGTTTGTGGCCCATTCGAAGTTGGCCCGGAAGGGTGGTCCCGGAACCGCACCCGCCGTCCTGCGGGCCGGGCGTGGGGGAGCGAGGCGGGCTCCGGGGTCTCGTCTGACAGCGGCGAGCGCGGGTCCCTGCGGCTCTGCCAGCGGGCTCGCCCTCTGCCGTGGGCGGTGCATCCCCCAGCGACCCAGAGTTGTTCCCCTGTTCCTCGGGCTCCTGGGGACTTGGCGGAGCGGCTTTCCCAGGCGCTTGGTTGCCCATAGAGGTGCCTTCCGTTGGGCCCACTTGGCTTCTGGCGTTCTTGCTGGGAAGAAGATGGAGCCGCTTGGACACAGCACCCTAGCTTTTCACTCTCTGAGGTGTCGGAGCAGGGACCCAGCTCCAGACACCATTCCCAGTCTCCTTTCTAACCTAGGTCTCTCACTTCCCATTTGTTCCGCCTCTTGCATCTGTTTGCATTCCTGGAAGTTTCCTCTTCTGCTTAACTTGTTTCTCCTGTCCTTACTCATGTTTCAGGTCTGAACTTAAATGTGGCTTATTCACCTGAATTATTTCTTTCTAGTACTCTCCTTAAACATACTGTTCTTTTCCCTCATATCTCTTACAGAGATGGGCCAAAAACAGAAAAACTTGCTTGTGGTTTTATTTATCAATGTCTGTCTCCAGGGCTGACTTCAAAGACAAGAGATTCACTGGGTTGCACAACACCTGTTCTCCTAGGAGGGCCCAGCACTTGGTTTAATATTTTGTCCCACTTTAAAATTCTTAAAAATATTTTGAAAAAAGAGTCCCTTTTTTGTTTTGCACTGGGCCCCAGCAAATCACGTAGCAGGTGCTGCCCACTTGTTCACTAACTTGCGTGGTCCATAGGCCTGCACAGTGGTGGAGGCCTGGGATGTTGAGTCAGTGAGGACTTCCCCTTCACCCTCCGGCCCCTGCGCAGGCAATGCCAGTACAGACTGTTTCTGGGTACTATGGGCAACTTCCTTTTCTTGTAATTCTTTGGAGGAGGGAAAGGTCCCCATTTCTGATAACTCAGTAACTGTCAGTGAGTAGAAATCTTTTAAAGCCATAATTGGTAATGAATTGGTTTCATAAAACTTTCCCTTTGAAGAAATAAAAATCCAGTTTCTACAAAATGTTGATATCTGTGTATACTGAGATAACTAGATAAAGGTGAGGGGGTGTTTTCCTCATTTTAAAGTTTCTGCTACTCCTCTTGTTCCTTTCCTTTCTCCTTGGACTTGAGACAGGCACCCAGAGGGAACTTCCAGCCAGGTAAAAGCATTGCAGCCTTCTTGTCTGATTGCCCCAGGGGTTCCAGGGCACCCAGCTAGTATCCTCCAGCATTTCCACTGTGCCTCCACCCCCATCCTTTGCACGCTGACAGACGTGTCATTTGCACACCTAATTCTGATCTCGACTGACCTCTTGATTTTTTATTCTTATCTTTCTGCCTCCTTTGGTTTCTCTCAGGCTATTTGGTCTTTTAGAGATATTGAAAGTCAATTAGGATTTTCCAAGTCTACGTTGTGAATGAAAGAATTGCCGGGTATTGAGAATGACCTTGAAGTCTGTGTTTTCTCATTCCCTCGGCAAAAATCCATTGAACCTCTTTTACATTCCAGATCTGAGCCCTAACTTGGGGGCACCTGACAGCCTGATAGGTCAGCTTGTGCTCTGTGGTCAGTGGCTATTGCTTTTAACTAAGAAGATGGGCTTTTACTTGTTTCCTGTTGAATCTGGAACAATCTGGAAGTGTGGGCTTAATTCCAGAAAGCCAGTGTTTTATTGCAGTAGCATTTCAAAGTTTAATTAAGTGGCCACAATTTGCCTGCATGTTTATCTACTTGAGATGATAGCTGGAAGATAGAAATAAAGTTTGTTACCCTGAATTCTTAGTTTAAAAGTTTGATGTGAAATTAATATAATTGTCATTTTTATCCATTCTTAACATTTTCTGTAACTGTTGTATGAAAAAAATGAATGATTCATGTGAGTGTTCATTTGAAGCAGTCAGTGTAACAGAAGAGGTACTAAATTTTAATGCTTTTCACACAGTTTAAGCAAGACATTATTTCTGAAGCTTCTCCATTTGTAAATGGGGTTTTTGTTAGTTTCCTGCCTATTGTAGTTAGTGCAAGATTCAAATTTGAGTGCCAGGGAAGTCTCATGTATTCCTTATTATATCACAGTATCACACATTATAATTTTTAAAAGACCAAAACACTACCAAGGTAGTGTTTTGACTCAAATTATATAAGCTTATCACTCTGGGAAAATTTGAAGATATTAGGGAAGAAAATGAACATTTGATTACTACTAGATGCCAGACAGAAAAGGGTGTTTTATGTTAATTTAATATAAACCACCTCAGAACCACCTTGTAAGGAAGGTTATAGGTTGTTCATATTTTAGAGATGAAGAAACTCAGAATTCAAGAAACTAGATAATCTGCCCAACAGTATAAATTTGGTGAATGATGATGTGGCTGGGATTCCATTCTGAGTTTCTCCAAAAGTGCTTACCTTTGTAGGGAAGAAAATAATACTTACATTGTAAAGGAAAACAGATTTCCTTGTACTCATAATACTTCAGACACAAAATGTGTGAGTTTTTCACAGCGAACAAGTTCTCATTTTTCTGTGGACACCAAGTGGGTGTCAATTTAACTCAACTGTGACACTAACTACCCAGAGTTAGTGTAGACGCCCCCGCTTACGGGCTCCATCCCCCAAGATTGCTCCCACTTCAGATACCCGTACTTCTGACCAAACAGCAGTAAACCAGAGGGTCTCCTGACCCCCTTCTAGGTTTTGGTGATTTGCTAGGATAGCTTACAGAACTCTGGAAGGCACTTTGCTTATTATTACCAATTTTATTAATGAAGGACACAACCCAAGAACAGCCACCTGGAAGAGATCCACAGGGCAAGGTATGGTGGGAAGAGGTGCAGAGCTTCAGTGCCTTTACATAAGTGTGATTAATTAAATTATTGGCCACTGGTTATTAATCTTAATCTCCAGTCCCTCCCCTTCTTGGAATTCAGGGGAGGATGGAGTTGAAAGTTCCCATCAGCTGATCACTTGGTTGGTTCCCAGTAGTCACCTCATTAGGATAAACTCAGGTATGGATGAAAGAGGTTTATTATGAATAACAGAAGATGCAACTTTCATCCTAGTCATTCAGGGAATTTCAAGGGTTTTATGACCTCTTTGCTAGAAACTAGGAACAAAAGTGTTAGTCACTTAGTCCTGTCCGACTCTTACTGACCCCACGGACTGTAGCCCGCCAGGCTCCTCTGTCCATGGAATTCTTCAGGCAAGAATACTGGAGTGGGTTGCCATTCCCTTTTCCAGGGGATCTTCCCAACCCAGGGATCAAACCCGGGTCTCCCTCATCACAGGCAGATTCTTTACTGTCTCAGGAACAATAAATATATATTTCTTAATTTTTAAAAAAATATTTTGTTCACACCATGCAGTATGTGGGATCTTAGTTTGCTAACTAGGGATTGAACCCACACCCCCTACATTGAAAGCGTGGAGTCTTAGCCACTGGACCACCAGGAAAGTCTCATGTATTTCTTACTATATTGCAGTATCACACATTATAATTTTTAGAAGACCAACTTCGTATTTCAAATTTCAGAAGCCTCATAAAACTGAAAGGCCTATACATGTGTGTGTTTATGTATATGTGGGCTTCCCAGGTGGGTCAGTGGTAAAGAATCCACCTGCCAGTGCAGGAGACATGGGCTTGATCCCTGGTCTGGGAAGATCCTCTAGAGAAGGAAATGGCAACTCACTCCAGTATTCTTGCCTGGAAAACCCCATAGACAGAGGAGCCTGGTGGGCTACAGTCCACACGGTTGCGAAAGAGTCAGGCATGACTTAGCGACTGAACAACAGCAATAACAATACGTATGTGTATGTGTGTGTGTGTGTATATATATATATATATATATATATATATATTCTTTTCAAATACTTACATATATACTTTTTTCTCCTGTAGGTTAGAATTATTGTGGTTTGGTTGGTTGGTTTTTTTTTTTCAGCTTTTTCATTATGTTCTTCACCTGACTATATCTGGTATATACTTTCCTGTTTTGCAGAATCCTTTAACTTTGGAGTCAGTGAAACAACTCATTGCAGCAGATAATACAGAGGAACTACAAAAATGTTTTAGTGCTCGAATGGAATTTGGGACAGCTGGCCTCCGAGCTGCTATGGGAACAGGAATTTCTCATATGAATGACTTGACCATCATTCAGACGACACAGGTACCACATTTTTATACTTCTTAATTCTTAACATTTTCCCAATGTTAAAAAATAAACTGAAGCAATTAAATTTTTTAAGAATTTATTTGAGCAAAAATCTATTCAAATCAAGCAGTTCTAAACTGGAAATAGTTAGGAACTGTTGGGGAGAAAATATTTTTTCTGTACACTTCTAGATTCTTTGGTTGGTCTGTTAATTAAATTGGCATAAGACAGATTAACAAGAGTAAACAACTTTAATTATATACATATAGGAGCCCCATAAACGCAGTGAGACCCAAGGGCAAATCTAGGATTTGAAGCTTCAAAATGGAGAATGACAGGAGAAGGACTTTTCAAGTATATATATATACTTATAAATATATATATATGGTTTTTTATACTGTCCATAGGACAGTAGGAAAGGAGATGTTTGGTAGATATTTGCCTGCCATACAGATTGGTCTTTCAGATTTAAAGTTATCTCTGGTAATAGCTCTCTTTCAGCATCAGGCTCCATCTCTGAATTCTTTTAGGTAGCTAAGGAAGAGGTAAAAGTTTTTCTTCGGCCTACCAGCCTTGATTGTCTCAGCTCAAAATGATCCACGTGCAAGAATGACATATTTTAGGGTCACGTAGGCTGCTCCCTCTCAGAGCACTCCGCTGTCAGGATCCAGGGGAAAGACTTTTATAGAGGAGTGGCAGAAAAAAAGGAAGGAAATTCATAGGTTGGCTCCAGCTCAAGTGGATGCCATGTTTGGGAAGGCTTAGCTGTCTGTTTGTGACTGGCTGTCCTTAAGTTATGAATTCTTCACCCTGAGGCTTTTACGAGGTTGGGTTTTGGCTTGATTAGTAGGCTCCTAGGGCATTAAAGCCACCTCAGTCCAATGGCCTCCTCATTTAATTAATTTAACTCCAGGCACCTTTTGTATTTGACAGACCTAATTTGGTTTCATTATGGACTAAACTGGTGGGTTTGCCTGGACACAGGGTGTCACACATTTACTCCATAAAGTTAGGCTTATACAGTCAGCGGAAGCAGCATTGTTTTGAAATTCATTCATTCATTTATTCATTTCAAAGAGATTTATTAGGTGCCAGACATCAGGGATATAATAATGACTGAAACAGATTCCCTCATGGTGCTTCATTCCAGTGCAAATCCACCAACTAAACCAACGGACTTCTATGTTTTCATGTTTTGTGATGGTTATACAGATACCAGCGTTGAAACTTTTTTTTTTAACTGCCAGAATAATCAAGAGTTATTAGTTCTGTTTGGCTTTATTTATAGTATAGGTAGAAATTATTACTGAGTTTCCTTGCCTTTATTTGTGAATTTTACTGTCGGGGCTACGTTCAGCTTTTAGGAATAAAGATGAAGCTTTTGACAAAACAGCTGCCGCAGAGTGTTGAAAGTTCTGTCTATGAGGGAAATGAACTGGAACAGGTCGTTCTGTTTCTTCAGCTGCTGGGACATGTTAAAAATGAAGGTCATTTTAGTCTGGAAAAGAAAAGGCTGGGAAAACTAACTACTGGTGATGATGTGTACTTAACGGGTACTTAAAAAGACAGGGTTGGGCATGTTCTAGCAAAATCCTAAGAAAGAAATCTTGCGTAAGGTACTGAATTGCCCTGGCAACCACTGGCCACACATACTTGTTAAGCAGTAGGGCTCCCTGAGATCTTTCTGGAGAGAAGACTTGGAATAAAGTGAGCCTGGGAATCTCGTTCTAGTTTATGGATAACATGGGATCACACTGATGGATAAGCTTGCCCTCTGCTCTGTCACTAGGACTGTACAACAAATCACATGAACCACGGTGGTTTCAAACAACAACCACATTTATTTTGCTCACAGATCTGTCATGTGGGTAGGGCTCAGTGGAGCGGCTGCTTTTGGCATCACATGGGCCGGTGTGGAGCCTGGAGTCTTCTGAACACTCCCTGCTTGCTGGTCCCTTGTGTGGACTCTCATCCTATTGGTGCCCCAGATTCATCTGGTTGTATTTAAGAAGCTGGTGGATGTGAGTCAGGAATATCCCGGTGGGAAACAGGATGGGGACTAGAGGGAAATTTTTGTACTGTTTGCCTCATTGATGGAGGTTATCATTTCCTGTTAGGTTCCTTGACTGAGCCATGACACGTCAATGATGGAGAATTCATTGTCTTCTGAAATAACCATCCTATCTTTGGATCATTCTCATTTAAGAATGGTTTGTTTATTTTGAGCCAAATCTGTCTTTCTGTAGCTTTTCCATGTTGGTTGTAGTTTAACCTTTGGAAGCTATATAAAGGGTATTTCTTCTGTTCTACGATAATATTTTGATCCTTCAGTGGGTCTCTTCCGTGGAAAAAGCATCCCACCTTCTTAGCTGTTCCCTCAGGTGCTCCCCCTCAGCAGGCCCTAGAGTTTTTTTTAGAGCCGTTTGAAGACAATAGGGATTTTAGACTAAGGCTGAATGCTTTAGTCTAAAGTATCTTAGTCTTAAGTATCTGACACCACCCTTATGGCAGAAAGCAAGAGGAACTAAAGAACCTCTTGATGAAGGTGGAAGAAGAGAGTGAAAAAGCTCGGTTAAAATTCAACACTCAGCAAACGAAGATCACGGCATCCGGTCCCATCGCTTAATGGCAAATAGACAGGGAAACAATGGAAACAGTGACAGACTTTATTTTCTTGGGCTCCAAAATCATTGACAACAGGGACTGCAGCCAGGAAATTAAAAGACGCTTGCTCCTTGGAAGAAAAGCTATGACCAACCTAGACAGCATATTAAAAAGCAGAGACATTACTTTACCAACAAAGGTCTGTCTAGTCAAAGCTATGGTTTTTCCAGTAGTCATATATGGATGTGAGAATTGGACTATAGTTGATGCCTTTGAACTGTGGTATTGGAGAAGACTCTTGAGAATCCCTTGGACTGCAAGGAGATCCAGCCAGTCCATCCTAGAGGAAATCGGTCCTGAATATTCATTAGGAGGACTGATGCTGAAGCTGAAACTCCAATACTTTGGCCACCTCATGCGAAGAGCTGACTCATTGGAAAAGACCCTGATGCTGGGAAATATTGAAGGCAGGTGGAGAAGGGGACGATAGAGGATGAGATGGTTAGATGGCATCACCGACTCAATGGACATGAGTTTGAGTAAGCTCTGGGAGTTGGTGATGGACAGGGAAGCCTGGTGTGCTGCAGTCCATGGGATTGCAAAGAGTCGGACACGACTGAGCGACTGAACTGAACTGAATGCTTTTAACCCTCTTGAACATTGGGGCCATAGCTCAGGGGCCCACCAGGGCCAGAGAGAGGGCACTATCACTATGGGAAGCCTTAGAGTGTGAGCATCTGCGTACCTCCTAGGAACCCCACAGAAACAGCTCCCATGTGTGCCTGTTACTTTGTCTCCCTCAGAAGCTTCAGAAGATATGCCCAGTGCAGTATTTTTGTACAAGAAAAGCTCAAGGCTTTCTAAACTGGTACCCTGAAAGCTGTGAAATATTGCCCTACCAAAAACAAGAGTTGCACTGCATTTTATGACTTCCTTTAATCAAAGTGAAATAAGTAATATGAACCATGATTATAACCCAGTCAACCAGAGTTCTTTTTGTTCTGTAATAAAACCTAGTTTGTCCAGTAATCGAAACCTCTTGAAGTCAAAGTTCACAGTTTTCTAATCGTCCATATTTCAGACTGAGGTGATGTTACTGCACCCACTAAGATGCAGGAATTGTGTGTTCCACCATTTCTAGGTGGATTGGAATAGCCCAAATTCTGCACAATTTTTATTTGTATAATAGTGGACTGATAGAGCCTCCTTAAGACCTGTCTGCTGGAAAATAATTTCACAAACAGAACGAGTTTAGATCTGTTAACTGTCAAAATCTTACTGTGTTGAATTTCTTTTACTTTTCTTTATATATAGCAGGTTGAAATATCTGAAACACCTCCTTGTCCTCAGAGATTTTAGATTTGTATAAAATGGGTGCAAGCTTTGAAGGAAAATGACAGTAAAAATGATGCTCATAACAGCAAACACATAGTGCATCCTTGGTGTTGGGTTCTTAGCACATGGCATGTTTTAACTCAGTTAGTCCTCATGCAGTCCTTAGAAGTAGGTACCATTCCCATTTTACAGAAGAGAAAACTGAGGCACTGAGAGATTAAGGAACTTGTCATTTGCTCATAAGTGGTGGTACAAGCCCGCAGATTCTGTGACCTTTTAATTTAGCACTGATCCACCTCTAACCAGACCTGGGCACAAGTCTGTTGTTCAATCGCTCAGTCATGTCTGACTCTTTGTGACCCCATGGACTGCAGCACGCCAGGCCTCCCTGTCCCTCACCAACTCCCGGAGTTTACTCAAACTCATGTCCATTGAGTTGGTGATGCCATCCAACCATCTCATCTTCTGTCGTCCCCTTCTCCTCCTGCCTCCAATCTTCCCAGCATCAGGGTCTTTTCCAACAAGTCAGCTGTTTGCATCAGGTGGCCAAAGTAGTGGAGCTTCAACTTTAGCATATTAGACAGCATATTAAAATATTAGACAGCAGTCTAATCAGTCCTTCCAATGAATATTCAGGGTTGATTTCCTTTAGGATTGACTGGTTTGATCTCGTTGTAGTCCAAGGGACTGTCAAGAGTCTTCTCCAACACCACGATTCAAAAGTATCAATTTTTCAGTGCTCAGCCTTCTTTTGGAGAAGGAAATGGCAACCCACTCCAATATTCTTGCCTGGAGAATCCCAGGGACGGTGGAGCCTGGTGGGCTGCCGTCTATGGGGTCACACAGAGTCGGACACGGCTGAAGCGACTTAGCAGCAGCAGCAGCAGCCTTCTTTATGGCCCAACTTTCACATCCATACATGACTACTGGAAAAACCATAGCTTTGACTAGACGGACCTTTGTCGGCAAAAATAATGTCTCTTGTTTTTTAGTATGCTGTCTAGGTTTGTCATAGCTTTTCTTCCAAAGAGCAGGCATCTTTTAATTTCATGGCTTGCAGGTACAAATCTAGGCTCTGCTATTTGTGTATCTGAAACTGGGCCAGTCACTGAAAGTTCTATCTTTTCCATCTGTAAAATGGGATTTCTTGGCCAAGTTGATCTTGGGATTACTGATAATAAATACTAAGTGTCCAACACAGTACCTGATACATACAGATAGAAAATAAAGCTGTTATTTTCCTGTTGTACAGTTCACTTAGTTACTGAGGGATTTCTCTCCTGCTACAGTGTTTTCTTATGAAAGCAGAGAAAACTTGATCAGCTTTTGGTTTAGTGTGTTAAAACATACATAGTCTTTTAATTCATGGGGTGTTTTTTAGGGATTTTGCAGGTACCTGGAAAAGCAATTCAGTGACCTGAAGCAAAGAGGTGTTGTGATCAGCTTTGATGCTCGAGCCCACCCAGCAAGTGGAGGCAGCAGCAGGAGGTATGTAAAGATATTAATATTCAGGAAACTATATTTTTGTCGTGTATTTTGTAGTTTTATTTGTAATCACCATTTCAATAGGTTGGCTTTAAATACATTTGTCAGCTATAGCGCTTAAGTATAAAAATGATGGGTAGATTCTGTTTGTAACTTTTAAGAATTCTGGTTTTATGTTTGGGTTAAGAAATTTATGTTTATGTAATTATTTAGACAATGTAGAACTTAATACCCACCTAAGGCAATTTTTTTTAAGTGGAAATATTGTTTCTGGTTCCTCTTCCTTTTCTAAATCCAGCTTAGACATCTGGAAGTTCTTGGTTCGCATAATGCTGAAGCCTGGCATGCAAGATTTTAAGCATGACCTTAATAGCATGGGAGATGAGTGCATCTGCCCAGTGGTTAGCACACTCTTCAGTACTACCCTTTTTGGGAACTGGGATGAGAATTGACCTTGTCCAGTCCTGTGGTCACTGCTTGGTCTTCCAGATTTGCTGACATATTGAATGCAGCACCTTGATGGCGTCATCCTTTAGGGATTTGAACAGCTCTACCGGAATTCTGTCACATACACTAGCTTTATTAACAGCCGTGCTTCCTGAGGCCCACTTGACTTTGCTCTCCAGAATGTCTGGCTCTGGGTGGCTCAGCACACCATCGTCGTCGCCAGTTCACCTGGATCTTTTCATACAGCTCTTCTGTGTGTGTTTTCCTCCTCTTCTTGATCTCTTCAGCATCTACCAGGGTCTCTACTGTTTATCATATATTGTGCCCGTCCTTGGGCAAAATGTTCCCTTGATATCTCCAGTCTTGATGCCTTCAAACTGTGCTGCTGGAGAAGACTCCTGAGAGTCCCTTGGACAGCAAGGAGATCAAACCAGTCAATCTTAAGGGAGATCAACTCTCAATACTTGTTGGAAGGACTGATGCTGAAGTTGAAACGCCAGTATTTTGGTCATCTGATGCAAACAGCTGACTCATTGGAAAAGTCCCTGATTCTGGGAAAGATTGAAGGCAGAAGTAGCAGAGGGCATCAGAGGATTTAGATGGCTGGATGCAATGGACGTGTACTTGGGCAAACTTCAGGAGATAGTGAGGGACAGAGAGACCTGGCATATGGCAGTCCATGGGGTCTCAAGGAGTTAGGCAGGACTGGGCAACTGAACAACAACAGCATTATTTCTCCTTCTCACTTTTCTTCCTTTTATGTAATTTTTTTCTTCTGCTATTTATAAGCCTCATGAGCTTCTTCTCATTCTTAAATGCCCATTGCAAAGTGCATTCTTGTAACATTCCCAAACCAATGAGACTGTCTTTTGTAGCTATAGGCAGATGATGATGGTGATGGTGGTGATAATGATGGTGATGGTGGTGATGATGATGGTGATGGTGGTGATGATGATGGTGGTGGTGGCGGTGATGGTGATGGTGGTGGTGATGATGGTGATGGTGGTGTTGATGATGGTGATGATGGCGGTGATGATGGTGATGGTGGTGATGATGGTGATGGTGGCGATAATGGTGATGGTGGTGATGATGGTGATGGTGGCGGTGATGGTGGTGATGATGATGGTGATGGTGGTGGTGATGATGGTGGCGATGATGGTGATGGTGGCAGTGATGATGGTGATTGTGGTGATGATGATGGTGATGGTGGCGATGATGGTGATGGTGGCGATGGTGGTGATGGTGGTGATGGTGGCGGTGATGATGGTGATAATGGTGATGGTGGCCGTGGTGATGGTGGCAATGATGGTGGCGGTGATGATGGTGATGGTGGTGATGGTGATGGTGATGGTGGCAATGATGATGGTGATGGTGCTGGTGATGATGGTGATGGTGGCGGTGATGATGGTGATGGTGGTGATGGTGATGGTGATGGTGGCGGTGATGATGGTGATGGTGGTGATGATGATGGTGGCGATGATGATGGTGAGGGTAGTGGTGGTGGTTATAGTTGTGGGGGTGGTAGTGTTGGTGATGGTGGCGGTGATGTTGGTGATGGTGATGGTGCTGGTGATGATGGTGATGGTGATGGTGATGGTGCTGGTGATGATGGTGCTGGTGGTGATGATGATGGTGATGGTGGCGATGATGATGGTGATGGTAGTGGTAGTGGTTATAGTTGTGGAGGTGGTAGTGTTGGTGATGGTGGCGGTGATGATGGTGGTGGTGATGATGGTGATGGTGGCGATGATGATGGTGATGGTAGTGGTGGTGGTTATAGTTGTGGAGGTGGTAGTGTTGGTGACGGTGGTGTGGTGGTGGTGGTGATGACGAATCATTCAAGTGCTGAATGCGAGTTAGGCACCTAGGTATTTACTTATTTAATCCTCACAAAACCTGTAATCTGTGTACTTTGTGCTCTAAGATCATAAAGTGAGAGAAGGTACCACAATTTAAACATAAAGAGGCTGGCACCAGGGGTCAGCAGACTTTTTCCCTAAAGGGCAAATAGTAAATATCTTACACACTTTAGGCCGCACAGTATCTGTCACAGCCACTCAGCTCTGCCATGTAGCATGAAAACAGCCATGAATAATTCATGACTGAATAAAGTTTTGTGCCTGGAGTTTGCCCATCACTGGTCATAATCATGGTTATATGACCCCCTTTTTTACTGGAACACTTCCTCTTGATAGCTTACCATGAACAATGTCATTTCCTGAGGTTGTGAAAGTGACTTCTGTACCTTCTAGTGAATGCAGTATATATCTAATTCAGGTTTTTATTTAAATTATTTTTGCTAAAATTTGTTGTTTTTTTTACTTTCTCCTTTATAGGGGCATTTTTTTAATTGTCAAAATCATTTTTGTATTACTCTTAATTCTAGGAATTTTAATGCCTGAGTTGTTAAAGATCTGCTGTTTTTGCCCCAGCCAGCTCCCAAAATAGTCTTCCATGCAGTTAGTGCTCAAGAAATGTTTGAGAGAATGATCAAATACTTTGTTAATCCTCCAACAGTGTAATGTTGTTCATTGGAAGTAGATTGTTGATTGTGATGAAATACTTTACTCCAAGCACGAAGAAAGCCTTGATGCCTTGTTTTGTGTCCTGCCCTAAGCCAGATGCTGTGGAACTTGAGAAATATGTCGAAGTGTCAAAAATTTGTCATCTTTTAAGTGCTGAAAGAAGCCAAGATGTATATGTATCATATACAGACGTGTATCCCACATACATCTCACACCCATGACAGTATGCTGTGTGTTTTGTAGAGGACAACATTGAACCAAATACTAGTCTTCATGGCATGTCCTGGGTAGTGACAGCTGTAGCTAGAGATTTCTCCGTTCTGCCTGGTGCCATGCGACTTGGTACAGGGCCAGATAACTCTTCACTGTAGGCAGTGCCCTGCGCCTGGTGGGATGCTTAGCAGCATCCCTGGCCTCCATCCACCAGCTGCCACCAGCACCCTACCCCGGTGACAACCAAAATTGCCTCTAGACGATTCAGGTGTCCTGTGGGAGCAGCACGGCCCTTGGCTGAGACCCGCTGAGATGGAAGAGAGCTGAGAGACTTGGGTGCAGCCTGGCTTAGCTGCTGTGTGCCCGGTGGACCTGGGACAGGGCATCTGGCCTTTCTCAACTTTGGTCCCATTTCTCTTAAACAAAGGGGTGGAGTGAAATGACTCCTTAGGTTCCTCCAGCCTTAATGTTCTCCGCCAGCAGAATATAATTAAGGTTTTCATCGATGTGGCCGCTGTTCTCAGTCTAAAGAAACGGTTGGGGGACTTCCCTGCTGGTCCCCTGGCTAGACTCCATGCTCCCAATGCAGGGGGCCCGGGTTTGATCCCAGATCGGGGAACTAGATCCCACATGCCACAACCAAGAGCTTGCGTGCCACATCTAAAGATCTCAAGTGCTGCAACTGAGACCTGGGGTGGTCAAACAAATAAAAAAATAAATGGTTGGACCTTCCTTTTCTTCTCTGTTGTCACCTGCTCTCCTGACAGCTCTCCTCTCCTTTTCTCCCTGGTCACTCTGCATTTCCAGATTTGCCCGACTTGCTGCAACCACGTTCATCAGCCAGGGGATTCCTGTGTACCTCTTTTCTGATATAACCCCAACCCCTTTTGTGGTAAGTGTTTGCTTTTATAATTTCCTGTCCCAGGATCAGGGGTGGGACAGGGCCAGTGCTCTTTAGCGCTCTTAGGATTCAGTTGTTTGAAAGACAGAAGGGCTCCTTGCCTTTTATCAGGAACTCCTCTCCAGGAATGTTCCTCCCACACCCTAGTAATATTTCTCTGGTGTTCAACTTTTGATTCATCAGAATTGATTTCTTTTTTTTTTAATGCATTTTTTCTTTTGCTTGCATTCAGAAGATATTTTAGCTGGTTAGCAGAATGTCTTTTGTTTGTTTGTCTTTTTGCTTTTTAATTTGGTTTGTATTCTTTTTCTCAGCTACCGCAATTAGGAAATGTCTGAATCCAAATCTGAATTCACCTCAAACCATGTCTTACCATGACATTTTTGACAAGTTGGTGTACCAACTTTCATATATGAGTGTTTCGCTCTAAATCCTATTCATAGGCAGTACCAGAAGCATGCTCGGCATGTTTTACTAAGATTTTTATCAAATTCCTATTGTAACAGAATCTAAAGAGAAAGATAATAGGTGCTATGACAGCTGTTCCTTTTAAGTAGAACAAACTTTTAAGAGTAGGGCCAGATGCTCAGAATATATGTTTTTAGAAGTTAAAGCAAAAACGTAATTCGAATGCACTTACTTCCGTCAAGTAGAAATGAGAGTGTGTAAATACAGAAGTGATCCCCACCAGCTTTGCGTTTACTGTCTCTAGTGCACTAACAGATAAGTGCAGCTCCTCCTAGCTGGTAAATATCCCAGTAGATGCTCAATGTCACATCCAGATGTGGCTCAGATCTTACTGTCTGATGGAAAAAATGCAGTGTGTTCAGGCATCCTTGGTCTTCTGTGCTGTATTAATGTTGGTAGCAATTGTTTTTATATCTGACATGAATTAACTAAGTGTTTCATGATCACTGGCCCAAGTAGTGGAGTAATTCTCCCTTTTTCTTTGCTCCAGGACACCTGGGTGTGAGATAGCTCCTAGAGGGACAAGTGACCATAGTGATTTTTGATGGGAGGATGGAAGGGGACAGACAGGTAGAATTTCAGGCTCCCTGTGTAGAGTAAGCCTCAGGTGTAGCCATAGGGAATCCTCTCCCCATTAGGGGAAGTAGTCTTATAAGGATTGGAGCTATGTAGAAATACAGGAGCAGGACAGTCAGCCCCAGAGTGGGAGATAAATGCAAGCTCTGAGAGCTGTCTCCACGTTGTCCACATTTCCTTTAACCTTTTACTTAAAAGCAAATCAGGGAAAGAAAAGCAGAGGATGCAGATGGAGAGAATAAACTGAAGCCATAAGCATCCTTCCTAAGCAGAAGGCTTAAAAGAATGTGCAGTGGAGAGTCAGAGCATCATACTGTGTAAAGAATTTTCTACTGTCACCAAGGAGAAGATAGGGTAAAAAGATACACAGGAGAATACTCGCCTTTCTTACTTAGGGTGCACATCGCAGAATTTTGAGCAGTGAATTAGTTTTAAGGGCAATCAGAGTATACTGCTTGGATGGGGCACACAAATGTTTTATGACATGTCATGATATTTCTATGTTATGTTTATTAAAGGGAAAATGGTACAAACAATGGATGATAGACCTTTTAAATATATCTAATTTTTTTGCTTCAAATTGTTCTTGTTTCCCACTATATTACAGCCCTACACAGTATCACATTTGAATCTTTGTGCTGGAATCATGATAACTGCCTCTCACAATCCAAAGCAGGATAATGGTTATAAGGTATTTTTATTTCTCTCTTCATACTTATGTCCTTCAATCTGAAGTCTATGCCTTGGGAGCACAGGGAATGGATGAACTCTAAACCATCTGGATATGTTCCCATGTTCTCCAGGTCTATTGGGATAATGGAGCTCAGATCATCTCTCCTCACGATAAAGGGATTTCACAGGCTATTGAAGAAAATCTAGAACCATGGCCTCAAGCCTGGGATGATTCTGTACTCAATGGCAGTCTGCTCCTTCACGACCCAAGCGCTTCCATCAATAAAGACTATTTTGAAGACCTTAAAAAATACTGTTTTCACAGGTAAATGGTTTGGAAACTCACCTCAAGTGAGTTAAATTAATGTGATTCAACCAAATTATGTTTTCATTACATTTTTGTCCTCAACTGGTATTCTATGCTACATATACTGTTATTGCATCTGACTTAAGAGGCTGTAGATGAGGGGTTGGCAACTTTTCTTAAAAAGATAGTGAATACTTTTGGCTTGGTGAGCCACTATGTTGCTCAATTACCCAACTCTGAGGTTGCAAGAAAGCAGCCATAGACAACACAGAAATGAATGAACACAAACATAGCTGTGTTAAAAAAAATGTTTATAAAAGTGGGTTTCAGCAGTATAGCTCAGTGGTGGATCCTTTGACTGTAGAAGCAGGTGGCCAGCCCACAGGCTATGGTTTGCTCACCTCTGTTGTAGATTCATAAATATATGTGTGTGTGTGTAAAGAAAGAAAGTGAAGTCGCTCAGTCATGTCCAACTCTTTGCAACCCTGTAGACTGTAGCCTACCAGGCTCCTCTGTCCATGGGATTTTGCAGGCAAAAATCCTGGAGTGGGTTTCCATTTCCTTCTCCAGGGGATCTTCCCGACCTAGGGATTGAACCTGGGTCTTCTGAATTGCAGGCAGACACTTTACTGTCTGAGCCACCAGGAAAGCCATATATGTGGGGGGTGGGGTGTGTGTGTGTATAATATATATACATGTATGTATATATGTGTGTGTGTATATGTGCATACTTTTATATATGCATGTGAAAAAAAGCTTGTTGGAAGGTGTCAAATAGAAAATGTTGACTTTTTTTATCTTCCCAGAAATTTTCATTTCATATATAAACATATCTACGTGTAATAGATTAGTATTTCAAAATCGTAACTAAGAATATAGAGTGCATGTGTCTTGTTCTCTGCCTTTTCCCCTCTGGTTAATTTGTCATGGATACCTTTCTGTATTAGCCCCCATTAGTCCTGGCCCTTTTGTTTTAATGGCTACTGTACCAGTCTGTTTAACCCCGTGACACAGATGTGATGCTCACGGATCCGAAGCAGGGAGCTGAGTGAAGGGTTGTCTTGCCCTAGTATGCCGAGGGTCCCATCACTCCTGATTGTTCCCTTAGCAAGAAACCACTGATGGTTAAGCAGCAGAACTTCAGGGTTGTCTCTAGTATTGTATTTGCTGGACCGTCTGGGAGTGGCAGCTCCTATATGGAATGTGGAAGCCCCACCCCACCTGAAGGGAGCTGCCATGCCATTGGTGTTACCATGCGCAAACATAGATCCCGCATTACCAGTAACCTGATTTTTTTCTCCTAAGAAAAGCTGGAAACCTAGATTTTTGTATATGAAATTCTCTAATTTTTAAATGTTGGGGACCATTAAAAAATGGTCTGTAATCCAAACACAACTCATCTGTGCATCTTTCTGTCCCTCTTACTGAACATCATAAAGACTAAGGGTTTCTAGTTTTCTGCTATTCACCAAGTAGCACCAGAGTCAGCAACTTTAAGCACGGTTCCTTGAGTTTTGGGGGGTGTGTGTGTATAAGAGTATTCAAAAAAATACATAGTAGATGGAATTCCCTGATGGTCTTGGTGGTGGTTAGAACTGTACGCTTCCACTACGGAGGGCAGGGGATTGATTCTTGGTTGGGGAACTGAGATACCACAAGATGGGTGGGGCCAAAAAAAAGATACTGTGCAGGCATCAGAATTATATATACATTTATAAAGTTAATAACGATTAAAAAATTGCTCTTAGTAATGTTATACTAGCTGAGGTTCCCACCAACAGAGTAGGATAACAGTATATGATCCACACACATTCTCACCTACACTGAGTATATGAAGTTTCTCCTCTTTCCCAGTTTGCTACATGAAAGCAATGCCTAACTTTATTTACATTTTTTTATTTATGAATATTTTTATCTTTATTTAACCTATATTTTTCCAAGTATTTGCTCTTTTTTTGCATTTGTGAAACCTCTTTGCTTATACAGAAAAACTAGTCTTTGTTTATTTCAAATATTCTTTTCCCTTCTGTTGTTACCTTTGGATTTTTTCATTGAAACTTTTAATTGCCAATTTCTGGGTTTTGTGCCATACTTAAAAAGATTTCACTATACCAAGATTATTTTTAAAAAAGCACAACTCTTGTTGTACTTTAAAGCTTTCATGTTTACACTTTGCCATGTTTTGTTTTGTTTTTGGCCATGCCACATGACATGTGAGATTTTAGTTCCCCAGCCAGGGATCAAACCTGTGTCCCCTGCAGTGGAAGCACAGAGTCCTAACCACTGTATTCCAGGGAAGTCTACATTTTGCAACGTTTAAAGCGTTTGAATTCTTAGTTATGCTTAATTTTGTATGAGGCATAAAGTAGCAAAGCAGATTAAATTCTTTCTAAAAAGTGTAATTGTACTAACATGTTAAACTGAAGAATCTATTTTTCTTTGTGACTAATTGGAAATATCACCTTTAATCAGACAATTTCTAACATGATTTAAGTGCTGTTATCTATCAGATAACTGCTATATTCCCTTCCTCTGTACTAATTAATTCATCTCATTTTAATCATCACAGTAATGCTGAGGGCAGGTTCTGATATATTGCCATTTTATAGATGAGAAAACTGTAACTCAGAGATGTCACAGAAAATAAGCAACAGTCACACAGCTTAGAAGTGGCAGAGCTCTAGGGACTTTCCTAGTGGTCCAGTGGCTAAGACTTCACGCTCCCAATGCAGGGGGCCTGGGTTTGATCTCTGGTCGGGGAAATAGATCCCACATGCCACAACTAAAGATCTCTCGTGCTGCGACAAAGATTGAAGATCCTGCGTGTTACAACTAAGACCCAGGGCAGCCAAATAAAAGTAGCAGGTCTCCAGGATTTAAATTTAGAATCTGTCTCCAACTCATGTTAACCACTAAGCCTTACTGCTTCTCATATATTTTTCAATTCAAGTTGGATCAACTTCTGAATTCTATCTTTTCCAGATTTGTTCTCACTAATCTTGCATATTTATTTTTCTAGATGTATTTATTTTCAAAGATATGTTTGTTTTAAACTACTGTTGTCTTAAGGAAGACCTTGTTCATTTACTCATTGCCAAAAGAAGTGCACACTACCTTAGAACCTAGCAGTCAGATCGCTGGAATTTTTTAACACTTTGTATTTACATTTTCTATAATGTCTGCTGTTAATTTTGATGTTATTTTTATTCTACATTAAGTCCCTCAATCAGAGCACTTTGCTAAATAGGCTTGTTACTTGACAAAGAAAATGTTTAATTTGTTATGCATCTGTATATGGGAAGTTCCATCACATTGTGTTCAGAGGGACATTTTGAAAATCATATGTGAAGATGGCAGAGAATGGTTGAAGCCCTGGAGCTTGCACTGCTGTGGGTAGGTGCTGCCACGGGCCAGCTGGGGGTCCCTCTTGGAACCCACTGTAGGTGTGAAGGTTGTAGCATGAAACAAAATCCAAAAGGAATCGGATTTGCAGGAAGTAACTACAGAGTGAAATTTAAAACAGTGTGTTGTGGGAGGGTGTGTGTTTGGAAGAGAGTGAAAAAGCTTTCTTTCTTTCTTTTTTTAAATAGAATTTTGAAAGATACTCAGTTGTCTTACACATTCTTATTATTTTGAAATCTGATGTTCTTAGGTACCTGGCCCCTTGATGTTTTGCAAACCTTTTGTTTTGAGAGCCATGTTTGTGAATCTTCTCATTCTCCACATGCCTATTGTAGGGCTGTGAACAAGGAGACCAAGGTGAAGTTTGTGCACACCTCTGTCCATGGTGTGGGTCACAGCTTCGTGCAGTCGGCTTTCAAGGCATTCGACTTTATTCCTCCCGAGGCTGTTCCCGAACAAAAGGACCCTGATCCTGAGTTCCCAACAGTGAAATACCCGAATCCCGAAGAGGGTGAAGGTGTCTTGGTAACTTGACTGTTTTTTAATTATAAAATTTATCTTGAACATAATTCAAAACTGTTACTTTGGAGTATAATAAGTTTTTTTGCGTTTTCATTGTGCCAAACAAAAATGTGATTTCGTCATTGGAAATATTTATATTTATTAGTCATCCATTTCTTAAAGGAACTTTCAAATCAGATGTCTTAAACTTCATGATGTGAAAGCTGAAATTGCTCGCAAATTTAAAATGATGCTTTACATTCAATTTAATTAATTTCATTTCATTTAATTTGCTATGCTTCTTAATGCCAACAAGAACCAATAATAGAATGGAGGTTTATCACACAATTTTTATTTCTCAGTTGACATTTTTCTGATATGAAAAAGTGCTATTTAAATTATGGTTCCTTTAACCTTTTTATTTATTTTTAGTATTTATCTACTTGGCTGCGCCAGATCTTAGTTGCAGTGTGTGGGATCTAGTTCCCTGACCAGTGATTGAACCAGGCCCCCTGCATTGGGGGCACAGAGTCTTAGCTGCTGGACCATCAAAGAAGCCCCCACTTAAACTTTTTATAGGTTAGGGTAACAGTTATACTCAGAGAGTCAATTTTGGTTTGTCTGTGAGGCTGATCACAGGGCCAGGCTTCAAAATAGCCAGTCCAGCCACAAACACAGTCAGATGTTGGGTGAGTCCCACTGGCACACGTGGATCGTGCATTGATGCTCTCGCTATCTGACCTCTGACTTAGGAAGTGGTGTGTGACCAACCAAGACCAGTTCCAGAAATGGGATTCAGTCTTGGTTTGGGAAAAGACCTCTTTTAGTTCTTAGAGAACTGAATATTTTTAAAGACTGTAGTGTGCTCAGTTCTTGGTTGGAGTGATCTTTTTGTCTTCTTTCTCTCTCTTTTTCAGACTTTGTCTTTTGCTTTGGCTGACAAAACCAAGGCAAGAATCATTTTAGCAAATGACCCAGATGCTGATAGACTTGCTGTGGCAGAAAAGCAAGAAAGGTACAATGAATTGTGATTACATGCATAATGTGTGATATAGTATCAGTCAGATGTTTCTGGAGAGACCGGGTGTATTTGGAAATGTTTCTCATTTATCTTGCAAATGATCATCTCACTGAACCTCTGTCAGATCCTCTGACATAGAGCAAGAACTGGTCCAGGGGCCACAGGTTCAGCAAGCATAATGGCGGGTCAACCAGCCCAGTGTATATTGGTATTGAACTTTGGTATTGAACTTACTATGTTACCATCCCCCCTTTGTCATTACTTTTATCATAATTAATGACTCAGTGCCTAACGAGGGCAAAGTACTTTGTTTGGTGCTGGCTTTAAAGTTCAGCATTTGGCAAAGGTTTGCTGAGGAGCCAGACCTTCAATGCCATGTTGAATTTATGTTGAGCAGAGCAGAGAGCATGCCTGTGGGTGCTGCAACGCTTGAGATAAGTGTGACTGTGGAGTTTGTACAGAGAGTGATGGATAAGGAGGAAAGTTGAAAGGCATGCGGCCTCCAAGCAGTTTTGCAGGTCAAACAGCATGTGTGATGCTTGGGGGACAGTTTGGTGCTGCCAAAGGGTTAGGACTTTCAGTTATGACAGAACAGGTTCGATTCTGTGTCAGTTTTTAGAAATTTAAGCTGAGGTGCTCCATGATCAAATGTGAGGTATGCTTGTAACCACCTTGACTTCACAAAGGGACAGTCGCAAGCCGGTTCTCTGGTGTCCAGACTGTGTGAGTACTGTGCTGAATCTTAAGGAATGTTAAGCTCTCTCTCAGAATCAGCAGGGCTGAGCAAAAAAGTTGAAATATATAAGCTATTATACTTGGGTGGGGGGGGGGCGGGCATCTTCCCAGCATGTATCTGTTATATTTAAAACCAAAGCCTTTGCCGAAGACTGAGATAAAAGCATTTCTGTGTCATCGTTGACATACTTGCCGTTTTCAAAGATAGGATGTTTGTCTAGGCAAACTGGCTGAGACACCGTAGCTGCTCAGATGTTTGTGCAGTGGTAGCCACACTTCTGTTACGTAAAGAAGAATAATGAGAACAACAACAAGCAAGAATAGTGAGAACAGTCTTGCAGGGGCCGCTTGGAGCCTTGTTGTTCTGTCCTTATTGGTCACTTACAATTAAGCACTCTCTTAAGATTACTGTCATGCATAGGTGGTTTTTTCTTTCAGCGGCGAATGGAAAGTGTTTTCAGGCAATGAGTTGGGGGCCCTCCTGGGCTGGTGGCTCTTTACTTCTTGGAAAGAAAAGAACCAAGATCACAGCGCCCTCCAAAACTTATACATGTTGTCCAGCACCGTCTCTTCCAAAATCCTGCGCGCCATCGCCTTGAAGGAAGGTTTTCACTTCGAGGTACAGTGTTTGTGAGACTTGCCCCTTCCCCTTTCTTCTGCTCTGGAGAAAGTCTCAGGCATTTCTTTCTCTCTTGGATTGTCCTTCTAGGAAACATTAACTGGCTTCAAGTGGATGGGAAATCGAGCCAAACAGCTGATAGACCAGGGGAAAAATGTCTTATTTGCATTTGAAGAAGCTATTGGTAAGAGTTGAGCACCATGGTCACATGATCAGTCAATTTATAGAATGCAAATAAATGGGCAAAGATTTGGATATGGGTTCAAAGATTAACACTGAAACAGAAGCACGCCGTTTGCTTTTCTTCTGTGACCCTCTGCAAATGCTGAACTGTTCAACCCGGGAGTTGGTGTCACAGATTTTTTTTTTAGCTGAAAACAATATCTCACAAATAATCAAGCCATTCATGTGAGGAAGTGAATCCTCTCCCCTGATGACTGTGAAGAGTGATGTTTTGTGCTCGGCTGTAGTAGCTTAAGAATGTCCTACTTGGGGAGCTGTGGTATTTCCTCACTGTGGTGTTGATGTCTAGGCCACATATAGTTCACTGTCTGTCAGAGAGTGCCCTGCAGAGATCTGTCCAGAAGAAAGGAGAAGCCACAGTTGTAGGACTTCCATCAGAGTGATTACCACCTGAAAGAACCAGCCAGGATGATGGGAAAACACTTGTCTTAAATAATCACTATAAATAAGCAAAAAGGAGAGCTAGCAATAGAAACTTGAAATGCAGATGTTTGTGCTGGGGATATTTTAGCTGTTTATTTAGTGAAAGTTACTATGTGTATGCTAAGCTGCTTCATTCATGTCCAGCTCTTTGCAACCATATGGACCATAGCCCACCAGGCTCCTCTGTCCATGGGATCCTCCAGGCAAGAAGACCGGAGTGGGTTCTCATGCCCTCCTCCAGGGGATCTTCCTGACCTAGGGATTGAACCTTCATCTCTTGTCTTCTGCATTAGCAGGTGATTTCTTTACCACTGGTGCTACCTGAGAAGCCCAAAAATTTGTTTACCAAATATGTGTTGCTTATCAATTACACACTGACTCTGAAGGAAATGGATGAACTGATGTTAGCCTACATTAGTTTATATAGGTGAGGTTAGTAACCACACACAAGCGTATAGGCTCACTGTCAAGGTGAATCATGTACTGGCAAAAACTATGGGAATTCGGAGAAGACAGAATAAGCATCAACTCGAGCAATTAGAAACAATTTTGTGTGAGCTGAGGGGCTAGACCTGAAAAATGAGGACAATTTGTCTAGAAGGGAGACTCTCCTTACAGGTTATTCAACAAATACTTCCTCTCTTTGTTCCTTTTTTTTTTTTTTTTAAATTAAGGCATAGTTGAGGGCTTCCCTGCTTATTTAACTTATATGCAGAGTATAAATCATGAGAAATGTTGGGCTGGATGAAGCACAAGCTGGAATCAAGATTGCCGGGAGAAATATCAATAATCTCAGATGTGCAGATGACACCACACTTAGAGCAGAAAGCAAAGAAGAACTAAACAGCCTCTTGATGAAAGTGAAAGAGGAGAGTGAAAAAGTTGGCTTAAAACTCAACATTCAGAAAACTAAGATTATGGCATCTGGTTCCATCATTTCATGGCAAATAGATGGGGAAACAGGGGAAACAGTGTCAGACTTTAATTTTTTGGGCTCCAAAACCACTGCAGATGGTGATTGCAGCCATGAAATTAAAAGACGCTTGCTCCTTGGAAGAAAAGTTGTGATCAACCTAGACAGCATGTTGAAAAGCAGAGACATTACTTTGGCAACAAAGGTCCATCCAGTCAAAGCTATGGTTTTTCCATTAGTCATGTATGGATGTGAGAGTTGGACTATAGAGAAAGCTGAGCACAGAAGAATTGATGCTTTTAAACTGTGATGTTGGAGAAGACTCTTGAGAGTCCCTTGGACAGCAAGAAGATCCAACCAGTCCATCCTAGAGGAAATCAGTCCAGAATATTCATTAGAAGGACTGATGCTGAAGCTGAAACTCCAATACTTAGGCCACCTCATGTGAAGAACTGACTGATTTGAAAAGACCCTGATGCTGGGAATGATTGAAGGCAGGAGGAGAAGGGGACGACAGAGGATGAGATGGTTGGATGGCATCACTGACTCAATGGACATGAGTTTGAGTAAACTCCAGGAGTTGGTGATGGACAGGGAGGCCTGGTGTACTGCAGTCATGGAGTCGCAAAGAGTCAGACATGACTGAGCGACTGAACTGAACTGAACTGAGGGTTTTCCAGGTGGCACTAGTGGTAAAGAACCTGCCTGCCAATGCAGGAGACCTCAGAGATGAGGGCTCGATCCCTGGGTTGAATAGATCCCCCAGAGGGCATGGCAACCCACTTTAGTATTCTTGCCTGGAGAATCCCATGAATAGATAAGCCTTGAGGAATACAATCCATGCGGTTGCAAAGAGTTGGACACAACTGAGCATCTGAGTGCATCTATATTATATTAGTTTCAGGTTTACAACATAGTCAATATTTTTATAGACTATACTTCATCTATAGTTATTATAAAATATTGGCTATACTCCTTGTATTCTACAATGCATCCTTATGTATCATTTATTTTATACATAATAGTTCGTACTCAACAAATACTTCTTGAAGACCTGCTAGGCACTGGGCTAGATTCTTAAATACAGTGATGGTGAATGAGAATCATTTACATCCTGGACAACCTCTCATGCAATAGGCAGGATGCATATAGACGTGTGTATGTGCAGCGTGTAAAAGGACCCACTCCTTAGGATGTGTGTATGACTCGTGTTTCTGCAGGATATATGTGCTGCCCTTTCGTGCTGGACAAAGATGGAGTCAGCGCTGCCGTCATAACTGCAGAGTTGGCCAGCTTTCTAGCAACCAAGAATTTGTCTTTGTCTCAGCAGCTGAAAGCCATCTATGTTGAGTAAGTTTCTATTGACTATTGAAATGAAGTAATTTTTTTTAAATCAGTTCAGGTGTACAACACAGTGATTCAGTATATGTCTATGTTGTGAAATGATCACAGCAGATGCAATTAACATGCATCCCCACACAGAAATATTTTTTAATGTTTTACTCTCTTCTTGTGCATGGGATACTCATATTCTTCCTGATGCTCTTGCTTTAGTTATGAATTCTATTTCTTATGAAAGCTAAATAAGAGATCACCTTTCCCTTTTGCTACTTAAGCAGTTAATAGTAATTACCATTTGTGATGATGTTAATCCTTAATAAATGAGAATGTTAGTTGCAGAAATGGCTAAGGGAAGGATGTGATTTTTTAAATGTCCAGTGTTGAAAAAGACTAAATGTGTTCATTAAACATCTAGTTTAGTCTTTGTAGCAATTACTTAATTCTGCCTTTCTAGTGCAAAAGCTACGGGACATAAGGTAATGGGAGTGGCGTGGCTGTATTCCAGTGATAAAACTTCCACTTACAAATAGAGACAGGCCCACACAGCAGGGCACTGATTCCTGGGGTAGCTTGTTGGACCTCTTTATTTAGTGCTGAATTATTCCTTTGAAATTAGTTGCGGTTGTTTGTTTAGAACATACTGTTTGATAGATACATGTTCAGTGGACACTGGGCACAATTATTTGTTCCTCATTTGAATGTAACTGTGTTTGTTTTGATAGGTATGGCTACCATATCACCAGAGCTTCGTATTTTATCTGCCATGATCAAGAAACTATTAAACAATTATTTGAAAACCTTAGAAACTATGATGGGAAAAGTAATTATCCAAAAACTTGTGGCAGATTTGAGATTTCTCACATTAGGGACCTTACAACTGGCTATGATGATAATGAACCTGATAAAAAAGCTGTAAGTAATGTTTTTTATCAGTTAAGTCTTTTCTATTTACTTTTTCACTGTGCTTTGAATAGCTCAACCTATTTAATCATATAATTAATTGAAGCTGATTTTAGGCTTTTTTATAAATAAGCTATTAAAATATAGAGATAATTTTAAAACATGAGCTAAAACTACAGGGATTCTCACTAATCTTCTCAGCCCATGCCATCTTTTAACACAGCAGGAAATTGATACAGTCGGCTCTCGGTATCTTAGGGTTTCACACCATAAACACCAAGGGTCAGCCTACTACACTGGTGTATATGATGGACTTAAGCATCCGTGGATTTTGGTATCTGCAGGGGCTCCTGGCACCCGTCCTCCATGGGTGCCGAGGGATGACTATACTCAGAAGCGTAAGACCTGCCTGTGGTTAGAAGCTCATTGGTGATGCTCTGGGTAGATTCTGGGTCTTCTGACTGCAAATGCGGGTTTTCCTCTCTTTCAGCAGTTGAACTTGAAAAGACATCAGAATCACCTGGTGGCCAGGTTAAAACACTGAGGCCGCATCTCCCCCCTTATTTGCCTTTCTAATACGTGCCCTGCTGGTGCTGATGTCACGTGTCCAGCCTTGAGAGCTATTCTTTGCCTCCTCCTTCGTTTTACCCTATTCTCTGACTACATGGGAGTCGTTGGGGCTTCCCTGGTGGCTCAGGTGGTGAAGAATCCACCTGCAGTGTAGGATACCCAGGTTCAATCCCTGGGTCGGGAAGATCTCCTGGAGAAAGGAATGGCTAGCCACTCCAGAATACTTGCTTGGAGAATCCCATGGACAGAGGAGTGCGGCGGGCTATAGTCCATGGGGCTGCATAGAGTTGGACATGACTGAGCAACTAACCCTGATTCATTCATTCACATGGGAGTTGTTAGCTATAACACATGAGTTCAAGTTCTTCCAACCATGCGGGTCCCCGACTGGAGTCACAAGAAGGCACAAATATGGCAGAAGATAGTATTGCTAATGATGGCCAGTGGGTAGGGGAAGAAGGGTAAGAATATCCTTATGAGATGCTGGACATTTGCTTTACTATTCTCCTTTTTATATTTTTTCATTTGCATCTGCACACAGTATGTGTTTAAAAGGCGAATAGTGGCAAAGGGTTATGAAGAGACTTGGCAGCCCCACCTCCTACCGTTGCATTGCCACGTGTCAGGAAAACCGCCTTCCCTCTTCCTTGCTTCTCTGGTATTTACCACCAGATTTCTAAATAACATGCTCATGTGACTTCTCAGTGTTAGGCTTTATTAATTTTCCATGATGGAGATTGGAGGAGGAAATGGCAACCCACTCCAGTATTCTTGCCTAGAGAGTCGCATGGACAGAAGAGCCTGGCAAGCTATAGTCCATAGGGTCGCAAAGAGTCAGACACTACTGAAGTGACTTAACAACATGATGGAAATAGGGATTTAGTTCTTAGACTTGCAGCATTCACAACTCTTCTCCCCTGTCCTTGCAGTACATTTGTACCACAGGTTTTGGCAACATCAGATTCCAAGCGTGTATTATGATGACTAGTAACTATTGTTTTCTGCTTAACTAAGTAGTGTACTTTGATTAGGTTCCCCTTACATTGTATAAAGAATTATTTTTTCTATAATTAATAGCTGCTTTGTTCTTTCATTTGCATGGGTTTCTGTGTATTCCTCACCAGTTTTTCCCACATCCTTCAGATAGGTCTCAGTAGGGTTTTCTACCTAGTCTAATGATTCTGTGCTTCTGTTGGTTCCATCTTATTTCCAATGGCCTCCCTCCTGGCCCCTTTCTCCGGGGGGGCCCACTGCTCTCTGGGTTGAACGCCTAGCTGTCATCCTGAGAATGCTCTTCACTGCTCTCTGGGGTTATATCCTTTGCTCCTGGACCCGTTTTTATAATTAGCTTCCTAAATCACATTTTCTAGTAGCTTCCTAAGAAGACATGCATAGAGGTAAATTTTTGGAGGTGTTTAGGTCTGAAAATGTCTTACTCTACCCTCACACTTTATTGACTCACAGTTTTGAGAGCACTGCTCCATGTTTGTTAAGCTGTGGCTCATCCATCATTCGTTTGTTCAGGAAATAGTTGGGACCTGCTGTGCGCTGCCTCCAGGGATAAGGGTGCCATGCTCATTCAGTCCCTTCCGTGCAATTTATTTTTCCTCTGTGGAAAGTATTAGGAACATTCCACTAAACCTTGGGTTCAGAATTTCAGTGATAAGATTTTAGTATAGGCCTCCTTTCTTTCATTTTTCTGGACACTTGATTGGTCTTTGTTGGCCTATGGAGTCATTTCTTTCCGTCCTGAGAAACTCTTGATTTTTGCCAAAGAAGGAGGCTGGATGGTTGTTTTCCAAATAACCTTTTCCCTCAAATTTTCTGTTCTCCCCTTCTTGACAAGTTCTTAGATGCCGGCCCTCCTGGAGTGATGTTCTACTTTCCATGTTTCTCTCTTCCCATTGTCCGTCTGTGTCTTCCTTTCCTACTTTTGGGGAGATTACCTCAACATTAAATGTCTGCTTCTTTGAACATTTCAGCTCTTTTTCTCTATTAAAAGTAATATCTTGTTTCGTGTATATTATATCTTATCTCTGTTAAGGATAATAATTACAGCTTTTTTTAAAAAAAATGTAGATCTTTCTTCCTCTGAATTGTCTTTATTTCCTTCAAGGTCTTCTGGGGATGCCTCACTGTCACCCTAGTCTCCTGCCTAAGGGTAACAAGCTGGGATGCTGAGTCCCTGGAAGTGGTGGAGAGGTCCCCGGGACCGGGGAGGAGGGGTGCCAGTGTTCAACGTGGGGACTCTGACTTCCTCTCAGTTTTCTCCATGCCCTGCCTTCCGTGATGCCCAGTGTCCCCAGCTTCTAAGCTCTTCTGTTTCAGTTATACCAGAGATCTAAGCTGTCTCCTGATGAGGTGGTTGCTTGGCCCCGTGGGCAGAAGTTGAGGATCTGGGAGGATCCAATACCTCCTTTCAGCTGCTGCCTTTGTCTCTCTTTGCCTCATGCCTGCCCTTTGCAGTACCTGGTGCCCGGTCAGGGAGCTTCGCGCGGGCTCTGCAGAGCATCCTGCCTCGGCTCTTGTCTGCCTGTTGTAGGTGCTCCCTGGTCATTATCCTGCATCCCAGCAGGTCCCTTCCACCCTTCATCTGGTTTCTGATTGCCACGATTGGTTGGCAAACCCCTCAACAGCTGCTGCTTCTTTGCCCTTGTGTGCTTTTTTATTTTAATACTTCGGTCACTTTAGTAGAGTTTGAAGAGCAGTCAGCCATGATACATATACCAGAAGCTTTTGAAAGTGAAATAAGACTATTTCACTGTTCTGTGGGGTTTTGTAATGCATTATTAATCGGTTTAAAGCAATTTCTTCAGAAAGGGTGTGTTTCGGTCTTAGAAAAACTTTTAGTAGCTTTAATAAAACTACAGAGGTAAAAAGTAGTCTACAAAGTTACTTTATTTTCACAAATTGCCTTATTATTATTTATTTCATTTATACCGAGTACATTTTCTGACTTCCTCAAATGTGTTCTTCTTTTTTTTGCATTTACTTTCTTGCTTATTCGGGGGAAAATATCAGTTAGGTGAAAAACAACTTATGTTGCTACTTACTAATAAACTTATAACATGAAACTTAATTCCTAGATTCTCCCGACTAGTAAAAGCAGCCAGATGATCACCTTTAGCTTTGCTAATGGAGGCGTGGCCACAATGCGGACCAGTGGGACAGAGCCCAAGATCAAGTACTATTTGGAACTGTGCGCCCCGCCTGGAAACAGGTATGGATGGCAGCAGCTGTAGTTTTTATTCCTTAAACTTCCTAAATTCTCTGCAGACACTAAGTAAAATAGCTCATCTTTCCAGTATGTAGTTTAAGTAAGAATGTTATTTCAGAACTTGCAGCAGTATTGTGATTTTAACAGCTGTTTGAAGTGTCGAGGAACAGGAGTGCTTACTTCCTACTTATTTCCTTCTAAAATTTCCCTGTATGGGAAAACATCCTAATTTCAGTAATATTGATAAAATTTCCTTTTTCTAGTACTTTTTATTTGAGGCTGGCACCAGTGACTTTTTCTCCATGTCTCTGGTACAAATGAACTAAAATCTATTAATGAATTAATGGATTAAATTAATGAAATTAATGAAATCCATCCAATGAATTACAAATCCATCAACAAATATCTTTGAGCATCCATCGTGTGTAAGTCATGCTGGGTTTTGGGGCAGATAAAGAGCCACAGCAGAAAGTGTCCTCACCACTGAAGAGCTGATGGTCTAGTAGCTTCAAGGTCATGTTTTGTGACCTTGTAAAAGATTTGGACTACAAAGAAAGCTGAGTGCCAAAGAATTGATGCCTTTGAACTGTGGTGGTAGAGAAGACTCTTCAGAGTCCCTTGGACTGCAGGGAGATCAAACTAGTCAATCCTAAAGGAAATCAGTCCTGAATATTCATTGGAAGGACTGATGCTGAAGCTGAAACTCCAATACTTTGGCCACCTGCTGTGAAGAACTGACTAACTGGAAAAGATCCTGATGCTGGGAAAAATTGAAGGCAGGAGGAGAAGGGGTTGACAGAGGATGGGGTGGTTGGATGGCATCACTGACTCAACAGACATGAGTTTGAGTAAGCTCCGGGAGTTGGTGATGGACAGGGAAGCCTGGCATGCTGCAGTCCATGGGGTCGCAAAGATCAGACACGACTGAGCGATTGAACTGAAAGGGTTTGAGCCACTCAGTTTCCAACACCTGTAACATTTGGAACTTTATCAGCCATGGTACATGTCGCCAGCACATGTAAATGTAATATTACACGCATTTGACGGTCGCTTAGCTTTCACTTCTCTATTCAGAATACAGTTCAAAATCAGGAAAAAAATTTTTTAAGTGAATTAAGTCAGTGCTACGCAACAGAAATAAAGTATGAGCCACATATGCAATTTGAAATTTCAGTTCAGTTCCTCACTTGCACCAGCCACATTGCAAGTGCCCCATAGCCACGTGTTACTACTGGTGGCTGCTGTAGTGGACGGCATAAGTCTGTCTAGGTGGTAACGGCACATACACCCCAGAGCATTGTTCGGAGGGTTTTTCTGGCTTGTGAACCAAATTCTCATTATGTGGAAATAAGAGCAGAGGAAATTTTCTGAGCACCCTAGATTAGCCACCTAATGACAGATTAAATGTAGCCGGTTAGAGGGGCCGGGGAAGATTTGTTGCAGTTGGACTTTCCTTAATCAGGGAGAAGTGAGTGCTGAAAGCAAAGCAAGAAATAGTAAAACAAAACTATAAACCTTGGGTACAAGAACTCAGAATATTCACCTGTCGGGGAGTTTATCATAAAGGAAATAGAAAGCTACATCCAAATGAGCCCTGAATCTTCTGAATAATTCTCATTTCTCATTCTTACTTAGTGTTTCCATATTTCTGTGACTCACTGTTTTGGAAACAAATGAACATTAAGTCCAATTTAAAGATGTTTATGCAGCTTTTGCTGCAGGAGGTTCTAGTTTGATCCCTGGTGGGGTAGCTAAGATCCCACATGCTCTGCAGCATGGACAAAAAATTTAAAAAACAAAAAAATTTATTTTCTCTGTATATTTATCTTTTCCTTTTCATTATCCTGTGAAAATATATGTAATTTTTTTTTTAAAAAAAAACACTTTCTTTTATAGTAACAATACAACTTACTACTCAAGGGTCTATGGTATTTATATTTTTCACATGGCTTATTGAGTGGACTTAAATTCAAATATTAGTTTCTAAATTGCTGAAGATACTTTGAAAGTTGCCGTTTTATTATCGTCATTGGGAAATGTCTAATTATAAGTCTGTTTTATCTATTATCAACCCTCCAATTGTTTGCACGTAAATGAGTATTTTCCACATGCTTAAAATCTTGATTTCGTTAAAGAGATCTAGTTCCCTAGATTTTTGTTTACACTTTAGTTGTGACCTTTTTGTTCCCAAAGTAAAATTAAAAAGATAAACAGGGGATCTGAGTTCCTGGTGAGTGACCAGCAGGCCCACTAGGAGGCGCTCCCCATCTCTTCCATCCTGGGAAGGCCTTACACATGAGGCTTCAGCCAAGCCCCCAATAGTTTGAAGACAGACAGGATCAGAAAACTGGGACGTTAGTCCATAGATATGATGTCTGGACTCAAGCAAGGCATCAGCACACCTGACACAACAGCCATAAAGCCATGGCTAAGGTTTCCTTATTTTCTGATAATGCTAAATATTATTAATATATTTTATATATTTTATATCATGAGTTCTATTCATTTGTAGAATTCCACAGCCCACTAACTCTTTAGAATAGAAAATCTTTTTTCAAATATAAGTACTACTTTTAAAATTTTTTGTTGCGGTTGATGTCTTTGTTTTTTTTATTATTATTGTTTTGGGGGGGCAGTTTTGGCCAGGCCACATGACTTGTGAGATCTTAGTTCCATGATCAGGGTTTGAATCTGCACCCTTGCCAGTCAAAGCACGGAGTCCTAAACCACTGGACCACCAGGGAATTCCCTTGATGTCTTTAGTTTTGTCCAACTTTTTATTTTGAAAAATTTCAAACCTATAGAAATGTAGAAATAATGTAGTGAATAAGCACATACTCCTCACATAGACTCAGTTCAGTTCAGTTCAGTCGCTTAGTCGTGTCCGACTCTTTGCGACCCCCGTGAATCGCAGCACGCCAGGCCTCCCTGTCCATCACAAACTCCCGGAGTTTACTCAAACTCATGCCCATCGAGTCGGTAACGCCATCCAGCCATCTCATCCTCTGTCGCCCCCTTCTCCTCCTGCCCCCATCCCTCCCAGCATCAGGGTCTTTTCCAATGAGTCAGCTCTTCGCATGAGGTGGCCATGGTACTGGAGTTTCAGCTTCAGCATCAGTCCTTCCAGTGAACACCTAGGGGTTGGCAAACTTTCTGTAAAGAGCCAAATAGTAGCTGTTTTAGGGTTCACAGACCACACAGTCCTTGTGACGACCACGCAGCTCTACTGTTGCAGACGGAAAGCACCCACAGACGTAAAAGAGTGGTCATGGCTGTTTCCCAACAAGACCACTCAAACAGGCCGAAAGCCATGGTTTGCCTACCCCAGCCCAGTCTCAGCAGTTGCTGATGTTTGGCAATGTTCAGCCATTTGAGAATAAGTCGCAGACTTTAACACTCATCTGCTAAGAACAAAGACCCTCCCTCACTGTCTCAAAAATTAGGTCATAATTATGTCAAGCAAGGTTCTAACATAAACAAAACCAGCAGGAGGTACATAATAAATTAAATTCATCGATGAGTTTTAGTTTAATGGATATTGTTTTTTTTTAAAAAAACAGAGTAATCATTAGTGAGTGTGCCTTCCTGAGAACTGTTATTTTCCTCAAAGCACATTTTTGGAGGAGGAAAAAAAGACTTGTGTAATTCATATATATTTATGAAGCGTAATTACTTTATATGTTACCAATGGGGATAAAAATAATTATAATGATAGCTACATCTATTGAGGTTTTTGGGCCAGGTGGTGCTAATTGCTTTATATAATTTATCTCAATCTATACAACAACTCTCTTGAGAAGATAATCTTTATTTCAGTTTTACAAGTGAGGAATCTGGGCCTTTGAAAGGTCAAGTCACTTGCCCAAGGGCACAGAGCTAGTAAGCAATAGAACCAGAATTACTGTCTGTAATAAAATGGATTGTTTTAGTTGTACTGGTTAACTGTTACAATGCAAGAATGATCTTAGCTAATTACAAAGATTGCCCATTTTGTTAAAGATGGTCAAGTATAAAGTATTAAAAGTTTGAATTGAGAGATTTAAATTCTTTTTTATTGAACTCCTTGGTTTTAAATACAGTAATTCACATCAGCTAGTATCCTGATACATAAGCCTGACACATAAATTAGACACATGTCTAATTATAAGTCTGTTTTATCTATTAATCAACCCTCCAGTTGTTTGAACATAAATTAATATTTTTCACATGCTTAAAATCTTGATTTCATTAAAGAGATCTAGTTCCCTAGATTTTTGTTTATACTTTAGTTGTGACCTTTTTGTTCCCAAAGTAAAATTAAAAAGATAAACAGGGGGTCTGAGTTCCTGGTGAGTGACCAGGAAAGCTGGTCACTAGAAGGCTCCCCATCTCTTCCATCCTGGGAAGGCCTTACACATGAGGCTTCAGCCAAGCCCCCAGTAGTTTGAAGACAGACAGGATCAGGAACATTCATGTCCTGCAAGACCAAGGACTTGGAGGAGATATCTGTAACAGCTCAATGGGATTTAATGACAACTGGAGTCATGAAAGTTTTCTCTGCACTGTTAGGTATGGACTCTGCAGAACTTTTAGGGACACTAGGCTACAGATTGTGTGTTTTGAAAATTCTTATGGGACTTGCCTGGTGGCCCAGTGGTTAAGACTGCACTTCCAGTTCAGAGGGCAGGGGTTCAGTCCTTGGTCAGGGAACTAAGATCCCACATGCCTCACATGGCCAAAAAAAAAAATCTTAGGAGAAGTGCAAAGGGGTGGTTTTGTTTATAGCAGAGACCTTGGGGAAGCCTTTGGGGAAAATAATGCATATTGTCTCATGGGCTTTTTATCCACGCCACAGATGTGTTCCCATGCTTAAGTAACTGGAGTTCTGTCTGATTTAACTCTTCACTTAAGAGTAAATATCAATGTTGCTTGATGTTGGGAGTCTTTAAAACATGCTCCAGAATGATCCACTGACTTGGGATCTTTTTCCCCCTTATTTTGCAGTGATCCCGAGCAGCTGAAGAAAGAACTAGATGAACTAGTTAGTGCTATTGAAGAGCATTTTTTCCAGCCACAAAAGTATAACCTCCAGCCAAAAGGAGAGTAAACCATCCCAGCCTCGGGCATAATTACATTTACATACAGCTAAGCTGAACTTGATTTCTTAAACAATGTTTTTGAGGGCCAAATAATTTAAAGTATTGCTAAAAGTATTTTTTTTTAATAGACCTGCATTCCTCCTTATTTTATGTTTGAATGTGAAGGGAAATAAAGAAAGATGGCCCAATCTAACAAACCAACATTCCTTTTAAAAGGCTGAGCCTGGACATCATCTGAATTTAAAAAATGACGGTTTTAAAAATAATTAACCTTCAAAAAACATGTGTGATTAAGAAGCTTTCATTAGAATAAATACCAATTATGTTTGTCCTCTGAAGTTCATTTTACATGTAAGTGAAACAGCCATAAAGCCTATACAATTACTAAATTCTGGGCTGTCATATCTAAGCTAGCCACTTTTATATACGTATATATTTGCATTTCTGTCAAGTCCTTATAAGATAAATGAACAGAGCAAATGTTGTGTTTTAGGGAAAATACAAATCACGGGAACCTATAAAGTTGAGCAAAAGATACTTTAAAAAGGTGAAATTTTTTGACCTAAAACTTTATTTCTAATTATGCACCATTATACATTGTGTAAGTGGTAGGAAAAAACAGCTTAACCATCTTTGTGTGGTGTGTATTCATTTCCTTTTTTAAATCTTGAATCAAACAGTTGGTTATTTGACACTTGCAAAGTAGATTACTGTAATTTTTTTTTTGCTTTAGTACATTTAAATGTAATCTTGGTACTAAAGTAGCAAGGATTATAAGCAATAACTTTGTGACTGACCTTGATTTTTTTTTTTGCCTTGTTTTTATGTGATCACAATCTAAAACCAGACATTTCCAGGTTCATTATTTGATCTGTGCCTCCTTATCACTGATGGCCTTATAACCTTCCAAAATGACTCCCAGCAAGTACCATGACCAAAGACCAAACTGTTCTTTATATACTTTATATATTTTGTGTGATTTTTTTATTTTTAAAGCAAATGATTGCCTATTATTCTTAACTTAAATGGTTATTAGAAGTTTCAGAACAATGAGAAATTATAGTTCTATTGTCAATCATGTTTCCAATGTGAAGGAAAGAATATCTGTATATCCTCATAATAACATAGTTTGTCCCCTACCAGCACTTTTAAAATACAATATTCCATATATTCTATCAGCTGCTTCATTGTAGATGAAATATTTATTTTTGTTTGATAATGTTTTCTAGTCTTAAACTGTACTCTGGAAAAAAGAAATTTTAGATCTGAGCACATAAATGGTACTCCATCGCAGAGCTTGTCTCTGGAAATGCAAAGGGAATTTAAAATCTAGTCCTGCTTGATGGAGCTCAGGGTCTAATTGGAGAGCTAATACGCAACTACTGAGTACAGTATTTACTCATTCTATGACTGAGTTATTTGCAAAGTACTCAGAGTTGAAAATTGTGAGAAAGGAAATCATTCTGCCCAGAGGAGGCTTCACCTTCAGGAGCAAGTAGCAGCTGAAGATGGAGAAGGAAGTCTTCGAGGCACAGAGGACAACAAGAGGAGAAGTGTGGAGTGCTGGGGGCCTGGTTGGGGTGGGCTGGGGGGTGAAGGCAGAAGCCAGATGTACATTTCAGTACCTGCCCCACTTCTCCCCATGAGCAGGGAGCAGGTGATTCAGCAGGACCTAGTGGAGATCCTCCTCTATTTCCAAGTATCTTGACTTTTTCTTGTTACTATGGGATGCAAGATAGCAATGTGCGGGGCATAAAACTTGCAACATAAGGCCCCTGCATTCTAGTCTTGGTCCACTGGGAACCAGCTCTGTGACCGTGGTCAGGTCACTTAGCCTCCCAAAGTCTCCATTTTGTTATTATTTACAACTTTATTTTTTTTTAGGGCAGTTCTAGGTTCACAGAAAAATTGAGAGGAAGATACTGAGATGTCTCATACCCACCCTGCCCCGACACATGCCAGCCTCCCCCATCCTCAACACCCCCACCAGAGTGGTACATTTGTTACCATCGATGAACCTAAATTAATGCATCATTATCATCTGAACTGTAGAAACAGGAAAAAGATCAGTGAACAAGTGAGGAATAGTAGGCAGAGCACAGAGGATTTTTATGGCAGTAAAAAAATTTTTCTCTATGATACTGTAATAGTGAATACATGTCATTATACATACATTTGTCCTAATCCATAGAATGTACAAAACCAAGAGTGACTACTAATGTAAACTATGGACTTGGGGTGATAATTCTGTCATTTTTAAAATAAAGAGATTTTACTAAATGGTCTCTGAGGTCATTTCATGCTGCAGGTCTTTGTATAAAAATCCATTAAGGGCACCATCAGCAATCATAAATCATCAGCAGTTCTCTTTGGCAGAATGCTCAACCAGCCCTCTTAAAAGAACTAACGTCTGAGATGGGGGGAAACATTTCGTACCACAGAGACAGGCAGCCTTGGGTTCCTATCCCGCCTAAACTTACAGCCTGGAGGGAGGGTTGGGGTGCTGAAACTGGATATGAGGAAGGTAGAACTGGGTGACATGCAGATGTCAGGAAACACCAGCGTGCTCTGCAGGGGTGGGAGGCAGAAATGGGGGCTGAGCACTGCCCAGCAGCCCCCTCTGCCTTCTAGCTGAGCCTGCTCGGGGAAGACAGGACGATTTGATGTGGGGATGGCAGTCGTCTTCTCTTGACTCCTGGAAAGAACAAATCCAAGTGAAGTCCGAAAGTCTGGCTTGTAAGAGGAAATGCAGGCCAACTGTTTTGGTTTTTTCTTCGTGGTGTTTCTGAAATAGAGACCTTTATTCTTCTCTCCCATAAGAAACATTGTCATTACCTCTCATTAATTTGTCTCATTGATTTAATTCTGTCATCATGCTATTAAAGGAAAGTATTATTATTTCTTGACACTGGAAACATGGTTTTAAAAAGAAGTACTTAAGTAATGAAGCAAATGCATGTGTGCTACTTTAAAGAAATTTTGAGAGGATGGCATCTAAATCGTGTTTATAATTTCTACTTCCTCAGAGCTATTTGCATATTCGTTATGTTCACTGATTGAGTCATGCTTTAATTTTGCTATGAGCCAGGCACTTTTCTGGGTCGTGATAATAAACTTGCATTTGTGACCTCAAGTAGTCTAGACTAGCCGAGGAAATCCGTATGAACACACGTGATTGCTGCATTGCACTAGTCAAGGGTTTGAATTATGGGCAGGCAGTTCTGTGATATCCCCCTTTGCCCTTGTCTTTTTCAAGAACATCAAATTTAAACTCCTAACATTTTTGCTCAAAATAATTTGACTCTGGGTGCTGTTTGCATGCCATTTCCCTGCTTCATTCCTCTGTCCTGTTCTTGTTACCAACACACTTTGTGTTGAGTAACTCAACCATTGAAAGCAAGATGTCACACTCTTTAGGCAGATGGGAAGCAAGAATTAAAATAACGCTCCTTCTAGAGACTTCCCCATGTAAGCACAGGGCAGTAACTACTCAGATTCACTGGAGGAGAAAGATAGCTGTCTGGAGAGATGAGGCCCTCCAACATGAGCACGTGGTGACCAGGGTGGAGAGCAGTGTTGGGGAATCTAGTTCCTCTTAGCCTGGCTTACTTGTGCAGGTCCCTGAAATTAAAGTTTTCGAAACAGTGGCCACTTCCCATTTGTGTCCAATGAAAGCCACTTTTGGTGTTTGCCACAAACCTGGTCCATAACGGACTCAGGCACCCAGAGCTAAGACTTGGCTCCAGGTCAAAGAATCATTTGAAACCATTTCAAAGGAGCGTTGTGCAACTTCCAAAGGGAAGTTATGCTTGCAGTTTACAGAGATGAAGGGACCTGATTGTGTCCTTCATACATTGTTCTGAACTATTTCACCTTAGCTATTTTCCATAAATCTCTAGGTGGCAAGAATGAAATGTAGCTCCATAACTGATAAGTGTTCCTAAAACAAAAGTAAACTTTAGGTGGAGGCTTGAGCTAGCTTGAGATAACTTCTTTGCTGGTCCAGCAGGCTTCCTTATTTTTCCCTCTGAACCCTAAGTCGGTTTATTCCCTGAGGTGGAATCATCCATCCTCTGCCCTCTGAAAGTGCCTTTATGCTCAAAGCTGTCATTGTTCTAAGTGCAGGACTACAGACTTCTCCCAAGTTCCAATCCCATATTACCGCCTGCCTCCTCGGGCTCTCCTACCCAGATGCCCTCAAATTACATCAGTGTGGCCCAACTCCGAATCTGTTTTTCCTCTTCAGTTAGTTCCTCAGATGTCCTTCCTCCAGTCTAATCTGTACACAGCCACCTCAAAATACCTGCCTGGAGTCTTTGGTGATTTTAACCTGTGACTTGCTCCCTTTCCCTTTTAAACTTATGGAAAATTTCAAACGTGTACAAAGAATCATACAAGGAGCCTCCCAATGCCCATCACCCAGCTGTAGAAAATCATGGCCAATCCCATTACACTGAAGTCTCCCTCTTGCCCTATCTCTCTACAGGACAATTCTGAAGCAGATCCCAGACCTATCTTTGTATCTGTAATTATTTCAGTGTATATCTATAAAAGATAAGGACATACTGACTCACACATACACACACACACACCAACATATTACTCTGTTACACTTTAAAATGTTTACAACTCCTTAACATCATCAATTACATAGTCAATGTTCTAACCCCGTCATTTGTCTCATACGTGCTGTTTAGTCTTTGCTTGGAAAAAAAAAGTATGTTATTCGCTTAGTTGTGTCTGACTCCTTGCAACCCCATGGACTAGAGTAGCCCGCTAGTTTCCTCTGTCAGTGGAGTTCTCCAGGCAAGAATACTGGAGTGGGTAGCCATTCCCTTCTCCAGGGGATCTTCCTGACCCAGGGGTTGAACCCATTTCCTGCCCTACAGGCAGATTCTTGACCATCTGAGCCACCAGGAAAGCCTCTCTTTGTTGGAATCAGGGTTCAAATAGTATCCACTTACTGCATTTGGTTAACACGTCTCTTAAAATATCTTTTAATTTGTAA